GAAAATAACCCAAATTAGATTAGGAAATATCGGTTAAAATGAGACACTTAAAAGAAATTTTAAGAATATTTTAGTCTCGCCAATGCAAAGGCGAATTGCTCTTTTAAATGACGGTAGTGGTAAAGTAGTATTCTTTATTCCATTTAATCAAATAGGTAGTTGGTATAATTATAGCTACGCAGCTAATTGGAACCATTTCATATAAGCAAAGAGTACGATAATTTATTGATGTAATGCTCTGTAAAAATGGTATGTAGATTAGTCTCCCAAGCTTTAGGGCATGACAAGTGCCTTGAAAGTCACGTCTTTTTTGTAACTCACTGACTCTCGTGGCAATATGGCGTAGAGGTGAAATATTAAAGATATATGCTGCACTATTTGGATTCGGTTCATGTTGAGGGTGCTGACAAGAACTAGGAGATACCAAAATTGTAGTAGACCCTGAATGAGAATAGCATTAGGAAGAAAAAGCTAAGTGAACCCGAATGGCATAGTCAAGCCTGCTCATTTCATTTCAGGTAAATTCATAATTAGTCTCTATCAGACCTAGGGTGAATAGTCATAAATACCTTGGAAAAGCATCCATAGTAGAACGGTCTATTTACACAGAAAAAAGTATAAACACTAGAAAACAAAGCTAGGGCACGTCGTGCATATGGATAAATGCTTAAAATCAATAACAGGAACGACTATTTGCATTATCATGTGATATAAAAGGAAGTTAAATAGAATGAGGGCTATGAAATAAAGAGCAAAGTACACTCGTCCTGTCAGATTTGGCGTTGTTCTGAAATGAAGAGGTCTGCATGAATGTTCTCTCATCGGCACTTTTACACACTGTTTGCTCCGTAGAATCCTTATCCTCGTATAAAATTATCTCAACTGGAAGATGCATGATTGTCACTGCCAGATCGACTAGGGTCTGAAGAGAAGTACTGCACGATAGATAGTCAGGCATAAGGGCCAGACGAAGGTAAGGCAGCGGAAGGGATGGAACTTTTGAACTTGCCGGCATGGTTGGGAACATATGAAGCAAAGTCTGAGATTCCTTTATGTTTGTAGGGCGGCTACTATCCTTAGTCATCATTGTTTGGCTGGTTTTGGAATAGGTATTTGTACGGATATGCGCGGTGCCGATTGGTTGATGTTTCTTGAGGCGAAGACGCTGTGCCCAACTATTTACCACAGGGGCTATCGCTAGCAGATCATCCACCTGGTAGACGGGACGAACTGAAGACGAGAACTGGGTATAGTGAAAAATGTAGAGGGTGATACTGGACTAAAAGATAGGATGGTATCGCGAGATAAGTGAATGTATAATAGGTATATTCTAAACGTAATGCAGTGAGCATATAGCTACGACATCTGCAAAGTTAGCGCAAAAAGTGCTAAGACATAGAGGAATCATAGATTTGGCATTATGGATAAAGTGCGAGGCAAATTCTATTAGAACTGCATTTGAGAGAAGCGATGGAGAGCAAAGACAGTTGGCTCAAATTACACAGGTTTGATGATAGAAGTTGTTTAACTACGAGGTTTACCCAGTACACAAGTAGAACTGAAGATAAATTAAAGCATTAAATTAGTAGTGTACGTGCTATCAAACATGGATTGGATGGATCCAGAATATAGTCTCTTTGAAGGGTTGTAGTTAGGAGCTTAAAATGGCAAAGTCCATTGAAGATGCCGGTGACAAATGTGGAAATGTACCTATTTCACAATTCAAAGTTAGAAATTATCATTTATATACTATGACAAAGCTTTCTGAACAAGATTAGTTTATTAAGGTCTTTTTTAATAATACCCTCAGGAGGCAAAAACAAGGCTAAACCACTTCTTAGGTTATTCAGTTTATGTGAAGCTTTCAAAAACTACTTTTGCTGAAAAAGTCAAAAATTAAACATTATTGGCACAGCTACCACTATTAAATGAGTCTGTAATATAAAAAAAGAATTAAGATTTTCATGAAATATAAATTAGTGAAGTAAAAGCCTCTCAGCTATTTTGTGGACTCAAAAGTTATTCTAGAATCCAAAAGCTAAATTGTAGTGTGGATGA